CTTGATTGCCGACCAGTGTTCATTGAGTCCTCCGGCTGATGGTTGAGTTGAGAGGCGATCTGATAGTTCCGCTTCGAAGACCGATTTGCAACTGTCGGTGATAGTGTATTGTGGGCAGTCTTGATCGATCAGTATCACTCAACCTGATTACCGAAAGTGATGTCAATCCAAACATTCGCAGATTTATTTGCGATTGTTTCACAAATAGAAGGCAGTTTACATGCCTCAACGGAAAAAATTCCTCCACTCGCTCAGTTTCTTCTGGTGTTCAGCAAGGCGCAATATTTTCCCCATTTTTCTTCTCAATGTATGTCAAACAATTTCCCATTCCTCTTGCATTCATTGGCTGCAAATACGCAGATGACATCGTTTTAGGTTGCAAAGCATCCACCCATGAAAAGACTTTAGAAATCCAAAGCAAGCTAAACGACGTTGTCTTTTGGTCCTTGTCCCGTTCCCTCTCATTGAATGCTTCTAAATGTCAGAATGTTGTGTTTTCCCTCCAGACCGATGTACCATATCCAGATAGGTTCCTCTTCATCTCTTCCAATCAACAACCCTTACCGAAACCAACGATAAGTGCGTAATAAGAAAGACAGGTGTCGTCAGCTGTAGCCCAGGTTTCAACATTCCTTCTTTGATCAGATGAGTCACCCCCAGGGGAAGAAAAGTTCAACGCCCTGAAATGTAGATTTAGGTCGAAAAATTAAGCTACAAAGCAAAAGTCAGAGTCAGCCTGAATGAGCAGTTGTAGTGCAATCATCGTTTCCGGAGTACATTCTGTATTATTGTGACCTTACGTTGGCGGTGCCGAGGTTTCGAACTCTAGGCCCAGAACATACCGGTGACATTTCTGACTTTGCCAATTTTCTGTCAATGTCAAATAAATGGATTTGTTCTTGACTATTCATCACTTTCCTGTTTCAGTTTCTTCTTTGAAAAATGGTCAATGTGCACAAGGGAGTGCTTGTTAAGTGGTAAGTAATCGTAACCTCATTTAGTTGGATTGCTCGTTTTCGTCAGTGATCCTGCAATGAAGCAGTTTTTGCTCCACCTGGCAGAAAATTTGATTTTGGGTAAAAATTTCGTCCACACGGATTTGGATGATCATCATTTGTTCATTGATCCGGATATTTTGGGCAAACTGCAAGAGCGTGTTGACCAACTGATGGAAAGTCTTTCGTTCCCTATGACAATCGAAGCGGATTGACACGTGCTTACAACTATTGCATCGAATCAACCTGACTTTATGTTTCTCCTGTACAGAGATGTAACCGTTTCAAAAAAATTCCTTCTTACGATTTGTTGTGAGTTCTAGTTTCTATATCCTCGTTCTGATGTCCCTAAATTTTTTCTTCAAGCTATTGGTGGGATAAGTGAAAACTACTATAGTTTAGGAATTGCAATAACGTTTTATTGCATAATAATTAACGAGAGTACTTGGTTGTATAAAATGAACCATTGCAGTTCTCGCTGCACCTCCATTGGTACAATACGGCAGAAACACCTGACTATATTGCTTCATCCTTCAATCAGTTGCGTACTAGGAGACTGTGCCTTGATGCAGTTTGATGTCTTTTGCGTCTCTGTAACCCAACAAGCTTTGCAGGCTGGCGTTTGCCAAACCAACAGATCCTAATTATTCTTGAAATGTCTTAGGGCGGACGTCAAACAAAGTCCATTTGTTTTGTCCTTCAGATTGGTGTCACTGTCGGTAAAACGACGGAGATGTGATCGCTCCAAGTTAGTCGACTTCCGATTTGCTCTAACCGTTAAGTCACCATTAGGTTTTTGTCAAAACTAAACCAACCATTCTCCTTTGCGGTTGGACCTCTAGAAGTGTCTGTTCATAGAGCTCCAATGAACACAGACTAAACATGATCCCATA